AATATTAAAGGTAGGCCTACTCACCAAATTACAGTAGATTACATCAATTGTTGTGCCTTACTGTACCTAGATACGAGTACAGTAATCAATTATCTTCATCTGTTTCCTGTTACTTGCCCAATACACACTTTCTAAATTACGTTCAATGTACATATCAGAGAAATTCAGGAATGAAAATGACGTTACATACGAGGTTGATGCATTTGTACATGTCGTACTAAGCAAGGTATAAAAACAGTTGCTTTATGAGGAATTAGTTCGTACCATTGAATATTTGACGCAATAGACAAGGTGTCGCAGAAACTGATGTTGCTATAACCAAGTTTTACTGTATTAAAAAAAATGACATAAAATGACCGAAAAAATCCAGAAAAATGACCTAAAGGAGAAAGGAAAGAACACTTTGCTTCCATGTTATTCACATTTCAGAAAATGTATGAAGAAAAATTCCCTAAAATGGCCAAAAGTGACAAGAAATACACTTAAAAGTCCAAAAATTTACCAAAAAATTACCCCAAAAATGAAAAAAATGACCTTAAACCTAAAAATGTCAAAAAATTACTTATAAAATTTACGTTTCTGTAACCAGCAGCTCATATCCGAGATTTATATATTTAAGAGCATCGCATAGGATACAAGGAAAAAAAGATGACATGTCATCAAAATCCGGGCCCTGGTAGTGAGTGATTAGCCAGTTACAGGAGTAAAACAGTTAAAATGTAGCACCTGCTGAAGACAGATAAAATATAGCAGCAGCCGAAGACGTTGAAGTATAGCAGCAGTCGCGGAAAGAAGACCCAAACGCGTGGTTGGAAGATCTTATGTGATAGTGTGCGATAACTGAGAAGTCAGCGAGTAAAGACTTTTCTGTGACTTCAAGATGGTCTGCTGTAGTACAGTTATATTGGGTGTGTGTAATTAAGAGAGACTTGTATAGCTCCCGCGTTATAAATACCTGAAGACTACTGAAGATAGACTGTGAAGAGAATAGTGTGTAGGGTTTGTAAAGTGCCTAAACCTGCAACAGTGTTATAATTAATTGTAGCTACGACTTTTAGGTTGTTAAATAAACCAATTAACAATCTGAACGGCGGCTTCAGTAGCAAAACACGTTATAATATCAATACCAGAAGCAAAAATAATTTTTACCATTCACAACCAAGGTTGTCAATTTATATAAATGGTGTTTATTATATGGGTATAAAGGTATTTAATCACTTATTTTTGTACATAATAAAATTGTTAGATGATAAGAATCAATTTAAAAATATTTGAAAAAATACTTTCTACTGAATTCTTTTTATTCGCTGAAATACTTTTGTAATAGTAAAAACTGATCTAAATGTTATATTTTTATCCATGTGTCATGCATCATAAGGTGCTTTATTTTTGCATAAGATATATAATCAGCAGGGTCCGGATTTTGATGACCTGAAAATATTTAAAAAATGACCTATAAAATTCCAGAAAAATGACCTAAAATATAATATGCAGGGCCCGCATTTTGATGACCTCAGAATATTCAAAAAATGACATAAAATGACTGAAAAAATCCAGAAAAATGACTTAAAGGAGAAAAGAAAGAACACTTTGCTTCCATGTTATTCACATTTCAGAAAACATATGAAGAAAAATTACCTAAAATGGCCAAAAATGACAAGAAATACCCTTAGAAGTCCAAAAATTTACTCCAAAATGAAAAAGTGACCTTAAACCTAAAAATGTCAAAAAATTATCTATAAAATTTACATTTCTGTAACCAGCAGCTCATATCTGAGATTTATATATTTAAGAGCATCGCATAGGATACAAGGAAAAAAAGACGACATGTCATCAAAATCTAGGCCCTGATAATCGCCTACTTTCTGGCATGAAGACTTGTATTACATTTAAGATGTTGCCACGTATAAAGTATGAAGATAAATCCATTTGGTTTACTGTTTCATCTGACCTATCACTCCTTAGTGAGAATAAAAATGCTCATTAGTCCCGAACTAGTAGCATTATTAGAACATTTAAAAAACTGACCTATGCTTTATTTCCATGAAGTATGTGTATCTTTTACTAATTTCTTAATTTCTATCTTATGTATTTATTGTGTAGGTTATCTGTTTGTGACTGGTTCTATATCTGCCAGGCGTACGCTGCAGCCTACTTTGGATCGATGGAATTTTACAATAAATGAACCTTGAAAATGGCTGCAGCACCTTCCTCTGAAACATCTTGTAACTATTACACTAAACAGCGTCACATTGTGAAATATTGTTATATTCATCAGTACAGATCAATGCAATGTAGCATCAGCACTGTGACAACCATGAATCAATTTTGTATATGATCTATGTACACAGCTTCTCAGACGATAATCCTACAAGTCTGTAGTTTTGATTTGAAAGTGGCAGATTAGGTTAATGTTTGATTAGTATGTAATTGCACGATATTACGGGACTGGAGATGAATTTTTCTGTAGTGAGATTATTAAAGAAGGAAAAATGTCAACTGGGAATACAGCATTTATTTTGGACTGACCCCAGAATTCACTTCAAACGATTCTGATAGCAGCTCTCATGTTCATTTTTTTAGGTGTACCATATAGTACCAGTTGTCATTATACTCATGAACATATTAAAATGGTTTGGGAATACATTAAAAGCAATAAACATGACATTACGTTTCCAGCATTCCATGTATGTACATGCCCTTTAAGTATACATGATTTTGGGTTGCTGAAGTTCATGAACCCTGTTCCATGACAAGGGAACTAAATCAAGTCAAATATATGGTCACGACAGAATGAGAACTTATGGATAACAGTATTGAGATAACTTAGCATATTGGGAAGAAAATTGTGAGGTAGTGGCCATCACTCGAAGAAAGCACTCCACTTATAATGACATGGCTGAGATGAATGGCAGTAAGCCCTGAAGTAACAGCGGAAAGGTATTGGAAGGACTGCAATTCTGTAAGGATAAGGGATACTGTGCAATACAGCATGTGACCTCTGAATGCCACGATGCTGCATGAGAACTTTACCTGAAGGAGGATTTTGACTTGAAGGAAATGTACCACAAATCGATAGTTGAACTATAGTGACAGTACAGATGTATGGCTTCTTCTGCATAAAGCCCAGTGAAAAGCCACCCGATTTTTAAATATTATGTCATGTTATACTGAGGATATCTGAAGTCAGAAAATCAAGTGAGATATTTTTCTGTGTGTATTATGAATCTTGGCTGATGGAATAACACCGAAGTTTCTGGGTTTCCCTTCTATAAAATACTGAAGGGGAATTGGGTACAGCAGTACTTACCTCACTGCCATAAGTTTAACTTATTTTGTTTTCAGTCACTTTTTCCCCCCAAACCCACTGCTGGTAATGTATATGAAGACTGAATTGCCAAGGGTTACATTGATGCTTGAAGTGGTTTGTGAAATTTTCTAAGTTACAAGATGATTCATGACCTTTATGAGTTGAACCTCAATCAGGGTGGTCTAGAAGATGTTGGTAAAATCTGAATTTTAAAAGAGAATTCAGTTCAGTGGGGTAATATGCCATGTGCAAGAGAAAAGAAAGATGGCTTTCTTTGTATAGATGCAGGAAATCAATAAACTGTAAATGCACTTTTTGATAATCCACCATGTTCTAAGCACCCTTGTGCATAAAATGTTATTGTACTGTCAATTCTACTAAAATAATGGAAAAGTTAGTCAAGCAATTTTCAATTCTTCACCTATATATGTGCTCAAGACAATATACTAATTGCTGAATATAACAGAATGTAGTGTAATAATGCAATCTCCAGTAATCTGCAGGTAATTATTTCTCTTAATATCCCATTATTGGCTGTTCGCAAGTGGAAGGGCTGAAGACATGTCAGTAGGGCGCTAAGAGTTCTTTAGTGTGTAGATGTCCACTGACTAATTCTGTGAAGTACTGGATATAAGCAGGATTAACCTGAAAAAAAGTAAACTTGTCACAAAACCAAATTTCTTTTTTGTGTAAGCAGCTATCTGTTATAAAGGGATGGGAAGATATGAAATTCATCGGGTCCACAAATAAGATCTAAAAGTTTGTGATAATGGTAAATTGTTACAATTAACATGTTGCTGGACATTATCCATCATCTTGCCTATTCTAAAAAACCGTCTAGTTTCTATCAAAACACAACGTTTCGGGAACTGGAATCTGTCCCCGTCTTCAGGTAAAACATACTCAGTTGGGTCCAATAGACAGAGCTAGCCCCTATCTCCGGACATAGGTCCAGTTGTGTTTTGATAGAAACTAGATGGTTTTTTAGAACAGACAAGATGATGGATAATGTCCAGCAACATGTTAATCAGGTCCACAGTTTGAAAAAAGTATTTTGTTTCCATACAAAATCCAGCTTTTCACTCAAGATCAATTTTCTTCATCCAGCCTTAGTTATAAATGCAATCCTTCACAAATATTACATCTTATAAATTACAAACTCAGCATAACAGTGCAGCAACTCAATCAATTAAAATTATAAAGAACTACTTTAGTTTTGTCCTGTATATATAAATGCATGCACACTAACTAGAACATAATTGATGGTAATTCTGTATTTCAGCATCCTGTTGTAAAACTTTAATTAAAACGTGTATCCACAGTCCGTCAATAACGCAACAACTGTTTATTCACCATTTAACACTTAACACAACATATTTCGGCCACAGATGGCCATCTTTAGGTGTCTCATTGTATCGAAACTGCTACACTGCTCTGATGTGCACTGAAAGTGCAACACCACATGCTGCCAGAGGGCACAACACACAAGCAAGGGGCATATTACAGATTGCATGTGTAGCAAAACACTGGGCTAATTAACAGAACAACAAGCTGCAGAAACAAACCCTCTGGAATAATCACACAACTATAAAAAAAGGGACAACACCCCTTATGAGGTGTAATAGGACTTTGCAAAAATAATGAAAAAATTGTAAGGGATTTTAATTACTTATTTTATGTTAATTTTAACTGGACTGCAGTGTGCGGTTTTAGTGCACATTAGAGCAGTGTAACAGTTTCGATACATTACGACACCTGAAGATGGCCATCTAGGGCCAAAACATGTTGCGTTAAGTGTTAAATGGTGAATAAACAATTGTTGCATTATTGACGGACTGTGGATACATAGATATTTTTGATACTTGATGGTACATCATACATTTGGTAGGCAACTCTGTCAAGGAGAAGAGTCCTGTGCATTTCAAGATCTCCCTGATGATTTTGGCTGCCATATCTTGCAAATAGAATACAACAAATTTTTGATCATGTAATAAAGTGCATCACTATCTGATATACAGAAAAAGGATGAGAAACTATAGATGTGGCCTTATTAAAATATACTGAAGCAGATTTTGCCTTCATACAGTAATATAAAAATCCCATTTATCCACGTCCCTGTAATTCTACATGTGCAATATTTTGGCAACAATGCATTCCTTTCCAGTATTTTTATTAGAACCATGTCTCCTGTGCTTCTGGTTGCCTGTAATCTTTATTTATTGTCTCTTTATATTCTTACCTTCTTATGTATGTAGAATACATGACTGTTGCGATGGTAAATAACTAGACATGAATACTTTGATTTATACTTTTTGAGTCCTCTTGAATACACTTTCAGTAACCTCATCAGGAACTGAACCCACACCCTTCCAGCTTGTAGTATAGTACCTCAACCAACTATGCAAGTGTGTTTCCCCTGATGGTTGTGTAATTAACTGAAATGTGTTGTGGTGAATAGAGTGAGAAGTGAACATTTGTATGATGATACATTAACATCTACTTAGAAAGTATTCATATTGTAAAGTAAGTAAAGCTATCCCTGTAACAGGCCATGAAGGCCCATAGGGTTGTGAGACGTTGAGGGTCCCACATTATCTAGACAATCGGCTCAAAGATGGCGGTAAGGTTGTCAGCCTTATGCGTCAGCCGCACTTTACTCCCCAGGAAAATTATTCATATTGTAAATTTAGTATTTGCAGGAAGTGATTTCTCTCATTGCCAGCTGGTAGAATTGTTAATTAGTTCTTAATATTACGTATACAGTAGAACTTGGTTATAACGTCATCAAAGGGACCTAAAAATAGTCTCGTTATAACCGAAATGGGAACTTCCACAGTAGCCTTATGTTAGTCACGTAAAAATCTACCAAAAACCGAGTTAAATGTTGCATTTTTTAGTGAAATACGTAGTTAAGTACAGACTAACGTAACATTAACGTGGAATTAATATGGATTCTCCATATCGTTTGTACTGTAGAATTCACCAAACCAAATTCGCGGCATACATCAGCTTTTTTCCTTTTATTTTCTATTTCTCTTCAGTGCTTAAAACTTTCCTTTCCATTGCCATGTTTTCACTACTGCACTTCTCTGGGTTTCGGCAGGAACACTATAGGGTAAGTAGACAATGTGAGGTCCTGTTAGACGAGATTCTAGGAAAGGAATGCAGTTAACAACCTGCAGCATCCTCTTGCACTATTCACGCAGTCCCACCCCACACCCTTGTTTTCGCAAAAAACCCACGCTCCTCTTGCAGTCCGCGGTCGTATTCTTCCAGGACAGTCACGTCAGCAAGTAGAGAAAGTGAGGGTGGGCAGACACATTGAACTTTCCCACGGTATCAGAGAAATTCAGGAATGAAAATGACGTTACATACGAGGTTGATGCATTTGTGCATGTCGTACTAAGCAAGGTATAAAAACAGTGGCTTTATGAGGAATTAGTTCGTACCATTGAATATTTGACGCAACAGACAAGGTGTCGCAGAAACCGATGTTGCTATAACCAAGTTTTACTGTATATGTAAGCGAGAGAGCAAGGTAATGTGCCTGATTTTCTCCACTCATTTTCTTCTTGATGAAACCACGTAGTTTGGTAGGTGGCTACCAACATTTTCGGAAGCCTCCGTCTCCACTATCGGAGCAACTGAGTGACAAGATCGAGGCAGCAGGTTCCTCCAATATTGCAACAATCCATAGACCCAAAGATTTGCCTGCTGTAATTTCTCACTTGATAACGAAAACAGTCCAGTGGTTGGCAACATTGTATTCATTCTTAACGTTATGAACTCTCATACCTAAGATCAATCACATGCTTGATTTGATTATTCACTGTACCTCTTACATTTTGTATACATTTTATACATGACAAATTAAGTATGTATGAGTAAAATATTGGACACCTTCTATTTAAATGAAATTTCACTGCATGTTTTGACAGGGTGTGCAGCGTAGTCTCTTGCTGTTTAAAACCACTCAACTGTCCTGAGGCTACTGACATAAACTGGAATTTATAGGTTACAAATGCTGAATTTCACTGATCAATAACCTGCCTTCTTGTGTGGAGGCATATCTGAATACCTTGACTGTAGCCCTAAGAGTCATAGAAGTAAATAAATGGGGAACCCAGTTTCTGTGGCTATGACTGTCACTGGGCGACATAAATACTGGGACCAGGTCATCCAAGCTGCAGGATGGACGCAAGGCTGACGAACAAATTCTGTGAAAAAAAAAATGGTTGTAAAATCAAAAGAAATGAAAACTAGGTAAAATCTGATAGTCTTCTAAGGAAGGCTATGTATGGCTCAGCCTCAAAAAGGGCTGTTTTGCCATTAACGATGATGACTTCTAACAGAGTGATGATGGTCATGTAAAATTCCAATACTCACTAAATTATAATTTTTATTTATGTTTTGACATTTTACATATAATAAGGCATCTTACAATGTGTTCTTCACCATTCATAAACCTTTCTGGTACACTTACTGCCACCCCTTGGTCCTACATGCAAACCACTACAAGAGATGTGAGGAGTATACATACAACTCGGCATGTGATTATATTGTGGCCGTAGGTTTGTGAAGTTCATTACTTTTATTAGGTCATGTACACTTAAATGAGCTCACAGCCAAGAACCTTTTAACGTGTAATTAATGATGAAAGTCTACAGAACATCCCTAATGAGATCTAAGATTTTTTAGTGATTGTGCCCATGAATAAAAATTTGTTTAGTGAGTGAATGAAGTTCTCTTTATCTGAAATTGTACGAAACACCACCCCATGGCAAGATGCATTATAAAATTGTAGAAATTAACGTTTCCATGCCTGTGTATCCATCTGCTCACATCAAATGAAGGTGTCCAAAGTTTACATTTAGACCTCATCTTAAAACATCAGCATAAACTGACTAAGAGGCTTTATTAATCATGAATATGGTAAATGGCAGAGAATTCATACTGCAGGCTTTCTTGTCGAGATATAGCTTATCCTCCTTAACCTTTGCATTAAATGGGGGCGACTCACGAATATAGTGCTACAAGTGTTTACTAGAATAAATATGTGGAACAGACATTCGGTTTACGGGCAGTTCCCAGTGGCTCCAATAGAACTGCTCTGTGGCAAGGCAACTTCATGGCAGAACATCTAGCCAGTGAGCAAAATCACCCCATGGGGTTGTTAGCCCGTCGCAGAGCCAAATAACCTGCAGCAATATCCATGGGCAAACTTCGGATTGTAGAAAATTCTTCAGACAAGGCATAGTACAGTTTTGTCTGTGGGTCTGTGTACTTTGCCTGCAACAAACCACAACATATGTCTGAAAGTGTCTAATCATATATAGGAGCAGGAATGGGGACTGCTCCTTCAAGTTAGACAATTGGTTGGCCAGTTGGTCAGAAAAGGAAAGAAAAGAATATTATTGTTACAAGACTACAGTACAAGGGAGAATGTCCACACTGCATCATGATGAGAGTGGGGAGTGACTCCAGTAGCACCCAAGAATAATGAAGGTAGATGAACACTACAGCACAATCAGTGTTTGAAACCACCCAGAGATCTGCTACTCTGGGTCTGTCGCTGTTAGATCGAGGACACTGAGCTCAGAAGTTCAGGACCTTACTCTTGGACCAGGTCCAGTCTGCATTTCTTGTAATCCCTATTCAGCAACTGGACTATTAAGTATTCATATCAAATGTCAGTATGACTAGACAATTTTGTGAGCGGTCTAATGTATGCCTCCACTGTTTTACGTGAAAACACATGCTAACACTCACAGAACAATATAAAATCTACACCATGGCCAGAGGAGAAAATCCCATGGATTGTGTCACTGAGACTTTCCCTCCCTCCCTACCGTTATATTCCCCTCCAGCCCCTCTGGCTTGTGTCAGTCAGACATTAGTGACTTGAGGGAGTTTGTCCTGGGCCTCCACATAATAAGAATAACAAATGTTGGGTTTGAGATTCTCAGTGCAGTGACTGTAATGTGTACTGTGTTCTGGGATGTGATGCTGTACAGTCTGGTAGAAATTCACTGAGGTTTCAGAAGATGGAGCCAAAATGTGATTGGAGAGGACAGCAAAAGCAGTTATGGTTGTTTACCCAACATACTTATCAGTCATGAAGACAGAGGCTGTGTGTTCCTCTGAAATGGTGGTGGACTTCTGCCAGACTACACAATGTCATACCCTGCTACATGCATACATACGCACATACAGAGACCCTCTATTGTTGAGTGTGTGTGTGGGAGGGGGGGGGGAGAACAAGAAAAAAAAATGTGCCCTAAAGCCATTGCCCCACAGAATCTTACACAGTCCGTACAAATTAAAGTAGGAATGATGGTACATACCAGAAGGCCTGAAATGTCGGAGTACTTCTTGGCAGGTTTGAAGGACGGTGGAGCATCAATGGTGCTATCTAAAACAGAAAGATTGCAGGAAGGTTTGTGGTACCTACAATCATGATCCAGTCTCTACTGATAAGTGAAGTACATAATTTGGTAATGCACAAGACTTCTAGGGCTCATGGAGAGGCAAATATATGCTCCTCGCTTACTACGCAAAATTCATCTAGTACCTATAAAATTTAACTTTCTTGTTTCCTACCATCATCTTAATAGAGAACAACCAAAGCTACTGTGATAAAATGTCTGCAAGCTAGAATAATGGAGACAGAATAAACTGTCTACTGCTAGGTAACATCTAAATAAATAATTATTGTGGCCATGGACATGCACAGAAGAGAATTCTTGCTAGTGGTGACTCCTGTGTGGTCCATGGAGAGGCTATATAGAGAGCACCCATGAGACAACGGCCAAGCCTATTCATAAGAGACAAATTCATCCTCTCGTCAAAGAGGATGTTACACAAGGACCAGGGGCAGCCCGCGTATAGGCACTGCGGAACTGCAGCACCCCCAATTTCCACATGATATTATCGATAACATTTATATAATGAGTCCTTTTTTCTTTAATTCTTTCTTTATACTTGTACAATACAATACACAATCCTTAAGCTTAATGTCAGTAGCCAAATCTTTGTATGGAACTGTGTGCTTCTGGAGCAGCACCCCCACTAATTTTAGCTATGAGCCACCACTGATAAGGAGTATGACTACAAGGGTTCAACTCATGGGGAGGACACTCCTCTGGTCATGATCCTAAGGGGGACTGCTGACAAGACGGTAAACCGGCAGTCAAAGTCACTCTGGCTCTAAGTTATTTCAGAGTCAATGGTTGAGACAGTTACTAGCCAGTAAGAATGTGGGTATAGAAACAAAGGAAATTGTTTAAATTCATTATCAGGAATGACTGATGGTAACACAGCAAACTGAGAAGACTTCGTTTGTGCTGTAGTGAGCTCATTTATTTCGGACCCAAAAGGGATGAGTGATGGGGAGACTGGAGAAAACTGCATGAGGAGCTGTGTAACTTGTATGCTTTGTCAAGTACATTAAACAGAATGACAAAATCAAGTATGAGATGGGTAGGGCAAAGAGCAATGCATGTAGTATATTGGTGGGAAAGCCAGAAGGAAAGAGACCACTAGGAAGACCAATATGTAGGTGGGTTGATAATATTAAAATGGATCTTGGAGAGTAAGGACAGGGAGGTATGGATTGGAATGATTTGGCTCAGGATGTACATTGGCAGAGGGCTCTTGTGATCACGGTAATGAACCTTCAGGTGTCATATAATGTTGGGAAGGTCTTGAGTAGCTGCACAACTGGAAGCTTCTCAAGAAGGGCTCAGCTCCATGAAGTTAATTAGCTCACTTATATTGGAACCCAAAGGCTCAATACTCAATAGCACTGAACATAATCTTGAAGCAGTTCCAGCCACCTCTTATTCTCCCATACAGTCTATTTTAATATTATCATCTCCTCTCCGCCTCCTCCTCCACCTCCACCTCCAGAGTGGCTCCTCTTGTGCTCAATCCCACTCTCTGCCATGAGAAATTAAAACAATCCAAATGAAAGTTCCAATTAAATGTCCACCATCATCTGAAGTCAGCTGCAGGCGCAGACCCAGAAGAATATCAAATGTGCATTCAACAAGCAGTCAATATAAAGATTACAGCCTTCTGAGACGCGACGCCATGCAGACTGGTGGACAGATACCAACAGTTCAGTGTGACATAATGCCTCCATCTTCAGTGTAAAGTGTAAGTTGAGCATGGAAGAAACAGTGGATATAGCAAGAGTGAGGACTATTTCAAGGGCCAGTGCCCTTTACACTGTTCTCTTCAGACCTACTGGTTTGATCAGTACCTGTGTCCCACTCCCCCCTCCCCCCTTTCTCTGTGTCCATACCAAATTTCCATGTTCAGCTTACGCTTCTATCCTGAAGATGGAGGAAGCATGTTCCTCCGAAATGTTGATAATGAGCTATCAGATGACACAGCGTTACTCCCCAGAAGACAGTAATGTTCATAGGCACTGCTGTGACAACCTCAGATCTCCTGTACTGTGAATGCTCCTCACAATGCTCCTCCATGAATTTGTTCTCTTACAGTGCACAAAATCTTCTCCCCACTGCAATGCCCTCTCTTGAGCAACAATCTGCTTCAGTGACCGCCATGCCCTCTTCTTGTTGCTCGTTTTGCTGCTGTGCTGGAACACAAAAACAGGATCGATCAGTCACAACAAACCAGGAAGAAAAGTTGCAACACAATTTCTGCTTCTAGCATCAGTTCCATTTCATGCGAATTGATGGGCATCAGGTGAACTTCAGGCTGTAAAGGTTTCAGGAGACGAGCGCTGTCAGCAGAAAATGAAGAACAAAGGAAGGAATGAACTCCGGAGAATCCATTTTTCAACATATTACTGTGCAGTACTTTGTGCAAAATATATCAAATTTCTAAGTACCTGAAAGTCTGGATCTTTGAAAACAGGTCTCTTTTCCTCTTTTAAGTCCTCTATAGCTACATCTGCTGCTGAAATTGACACAGGGCTTGGCACTCCAGAGCCACCCACACTGCTTGGGGCACTGTCCCCATCTCCAAGTGGCTGGAAGGAAGGCATCCATAGTAATTTAGTGAACAGGATTAAAGGTATTATTTCCACACTATACACTTAAAACAGAGTTTCTTTAATTGTAATATATACTAACTATCTCTAAAATTCAGTGAATACACAAAATGGTACACAGAATTCAATCATATGCTCAAAATTAAGTACTGCAATTTTTATGCTTAGAAAATTGCAGCCTACGGTGAGTGGACAAGTTTTACGTATGGTTTACTTTTCTCATGTGCAGGCTCAACTTAATTACGGTATCATTTTTTGGGGCTCTTCTTCATTAATGAAAAGTATATTTACTGTACAAAAAAGAGCATTAAGAGTCTTGTTAAGATTAGGGCCAAGGAGTTCATGTAGGGAAGGCTTTAAGACAACGGGCATACTTACTGTCCCCTGTTTATATATATATTCCATAGTCTTGTTTGTACTCAAAAATCCTGATATGTATCAGGTGAATAATGGCATACACAAATTAAGTACTAGGTGGCATAATAAACTACATGTTTCCTTTGTGAGATTATCTTCCATTCAAAAGAGTGTGCATTTTTCATCCATTAGAATATTTAATAACTTGCCACACAATATATATTCCTTGAAAGACAATATTAATATTTTTAAACAAAGGCTAAAAGATTATCTTATTTTAAATGCATTTTATTCGGTAGATGAATACATGGCATACAGGCAAGCATAATACATTACTGTTGTCTTTCCAAGATTATGTATTATCTAGATTTGTTATATGACTGCTTTTTATTTTATTATTGTGCTTTTATTTTATAATTCTTGAATATTTTAATTGTTGAGACTAGATTGCATTTTGCAATGTCATTTTGCTGACGAATTCAATATCCAGTCCGGTTCCCGGACAATGGATCTGTGAAATTATGTATCTACGTATGTATGTATCCTCACACTCCCAAAAACTTTAAATTGCTTTTGAAGAATTATCTGAAATGCCTCAAATTTTCACCAGATTTAAAAATGTTGTCTCCCTGGCGCTAAAGAAACCAACAGTTCATTACTGCCAAAAAAGTAACGCCATTCAGCGGCCTTCCTTCCAAACGCCCACAATCTGGCATACATTACTGTAATTTATTTTTTCCAAGTCTCATTTCCAGGGCCATCCTGGTTACTTAATATTAACCAACCACAGAAGAAATGTGTTGGGCAAGAATTAAAACTTCTTTTTCGGCCTGGTTTTCGCGTAAAAGAAACACATTACGCATATAAATACATCATAATTACTAATAAATGCAATACTCACAGTATTCGGACGTTTCCTTTTCACCATGATGCAGTAATTCTCTAATAACGATTTAATTTAGTTGTATCACCTGTTATTTATCGATACAACCAACTACTGTGATCACACCGAATGACCTCTTTATTTCCAATTACAGCATAAATTATTGCAACGCTCGTACCACCGATTCAACCTTAGTAACACACGCATCATTACTGTTACTACCTAACACTGTATTTCTTCGACATCATTTACATCGTACCGTATACTAGTTTGTATCGATCCAACCGAGGGTCATTTGAGGTAGAGGTTAACCAATAGCAACATGACAAAATTACAATTTTGGTAACTGTGCCCAATTGAGGAATTTTTCAAGAACTGCATTTGTAATATAAAAATGTATTGTTAAAATTCAAATGTTTAAATTAATAGCAATAACATAACATTGTCATGTATTATGCATGAGGTTTTACACATATAAACGCTTTATTATAAGATAGCCCTTGATATCTTATTTGTGAGCATAATGTTGGCCCTCAATAACGGAAATCGACAGTAATTTGTTTCGATTCACGAATAGCAACTTGACAAAGTTAACAGTATGGGTCCACAGTGGCATTTAGACGAGTTTCTCTCAAGAACAGCATGCTAAAGATAATAAACAATCGCTTTTACGACCAAGATTCTAAAGTTAACAAAAATATCACCTGTCATTAATTTGATCTTCTTTATATAAGCACTCAGTCATAAAAAAAAGATGTGTGAGCATGCAGTTGGTATTCATGAATGGAGCTGAATTTTTTTTTCTGTATTATTGTGTGCGTGCTGCAGGTTCACCAATACAAACATGTTAAAATTACAATATTGGTGCAGAGTTGCAGGAGACGAATCGCCTTAACGGACTGTATTTTCAAGATAATACAGTAATATCTAAGAATATAATTTTTAAATTCAAAGGAACATCACTTAGTATGATTTTCGTTGTGTAGTCACACATTGCTATAAAATAGTCTCAAGGTTAATATATGTGACCATAAAGTTGGTTCTCCTTGACAGGCATTTGTTAACAAAGATTTGAACATTAAAGCGTAGGAGCCGGGATAACTTGTTTGGTTTAGTAGGTTTAGCAACGGGCTATGGCCTGGATGACCCAGAGGTCTGAATTCGAGTCCCGGTAGGGTGAAGAATTTTCTCTTCTCCACGTGGTCCAGACAGGTTCAGGGGGCCTATCCAATGGGTACCGGGGGCTCTTTCCCTGGGGGTAAAGCGGTAGGTTCATGAAGCTGACCACTCAACACCAACTAGGGCCGAGGTCAAGAAAATGTGGATCTATACATCCGCTCCCCCATACGTCTTCACGGCGCAGTGCTTAATTGGTTAAGCACAGGGACAACTTTACCTTACCTTGTAAGATTTGAGGCTTACCTTACCTTACCTTACCTCTAAATGGCCAGTGCCGATGCTAAATTGTCGAATGAGGCTGTGAATATTAAGGAATTACGCCTAGATAGCCCGTGTCAACAGTAGATCTACGATATCGGCTGCGGCCGTCTCATACCTTGCAATCGTGGGATCGAATCCAGCTGTAAGGCTTAGTCCGCCTTTTCTTTTTACAACGTCCTGGACTTTCGTTTATCCGTTGAAGCGTTCTATATTTATTTAGAATATGAGGTACTCACAGCTGTGGCTATGAAGAGTTCTATCTTCTGGGATTGTAACGCCGTGTATTCCGGTGAAAGTCAACCAATTTCAGAGGAACATGTCGCCACCCTGAAGATGGAGACGGTATGTTCCTTCGGAACATCGATCCCACAAGACAGAATATCCGTAATACAGAAGACCTCGGCAGTTTCATCCAATCCCTCCCTCTCTAAATACGATTAAAATTCGTCTTGGGGCATTTTACGTTGATTTGCGCAATACATTCGTGTGAGATTCGAGATATTCATGGGGTAGAGAAACAAATTTTTTACGCTCAAAACCCCACGTATGGCAGTATGTGTAGTCACGACATAAGCCTACCACACACAAAACGATAAGGCTACAGTGCAGAATGTAATATCATGATGCTAATCATATTTTCGTGAAACTTGACCACCAAATAACAAGCGAAATGGAATATCTATTCGCTCTTCGAAGTAGCCCCCACGATAATTTAGAATCACCCTGTATATGAAAGACGATCAAGAAGTAACCTCAGACCTGGCGAAAGGATTTGAGGGAACTCGATCATGGTAAGGACAGAGTTTTTCTTTTAACCCTTTCGCCGTCGTGCTCTTAAAACACTGAGTGAAATGCATTCGCAACAAGATTAATTTCTTATATTGACCCTACTGCTGGCGGTTTTACGTCTGACGGGACAGTCTAAATGTTAGCGCGGAATGTCTATTACACTTGCAACTAACGTTATTGGAAAAGTGCTATCCTCTGGGAAGTGACATCACTGTAGTCCTGAAGAACTTACCGACCAGTCGGAGGAATGTACTGAATTTTTAGGGTTGAAGATTCAATCAAGCAAGCATCGATCCTAAACAGGACTAACCGGTTGAAGCCGAGAGGCTGTAGAACCCTGCCAGTACACTGCCTAAGTTGCGGGCTGGATTACCGAAGGATCGTAGTTCGATTCTCGGGAGGAGAACAAACTCTCTTCTCTCCACAGTAGTCAGACAGGTTCCAAAAGAACACCAGTCTCCTATCCAATAGACACCGCCGGTTTAGAGCAGCCGGGGCGTGAAAGTGACCACTCTCCTCAATCTAGTGCAGAAGTTAATAATGCAGGGAGCTACACCTCCATTCCTGCATGTGCTTAATGAAGCACAGGGAAAAACTAATTAGCCTCTTTTACATTTTAGCGCTTTGTCTCTTTGATATGTTTTCTGTGCTGCATGAACTGAAAGTTAGAAATATTTATATGAAACCGAATTTCACGTTTCACTCCATATTTCACGTGCAGCCCCCCCCCCCACAAAAGCTAACATCAAAATTTCAATCTAACACAGCCCTTCCAATTATGCAGTGAAGTCCCGCTCAACTATTTTGTCTCCTCTGCTCCTGACGGAGTTCCTTTACCCTTCTTCACTTCCAGATACCCGCGTGCGTAGTCGGCACTGCCTGGGAACCTTCGAAGTACGTGTAAAGTAAAAGGAAAGCTATCTCTGTAAGAGGCCGTGAAGGCCCATAGGGTTGTGAGACGTTGAGGTTCCCACATTATCTAGACAGTCGGCTCACAGATGGCGGTAAGGATATCAGCCCTACGCGCCGGCCGCGCTTTACTCCCCAGGGAAATTATTTAATTAATTCCTGGTACTCATTTCTGTTAGAGGCTGAGTAAACCCCAGGGCCATACATAGTGCGGCTGGAAGGATTAGGTCAATTGAAAAAAAATCCGATGACCTCATCGGGACTTCAACCCGCGACCTTCTGGCTGGTAGCACAGTGCCTCAACCAACTACGCTACCGCGTGTCCCTTCGAAGTAACATATTTCTGTCCGCCCTACCTCCCTTAAAATGAAGCGTCTGTCACTATTTCGTCACCTTCTCTTCTCTCTCTCTCTGCTCGACGCTGACGCGCACCTCGGAACCGCCACTGACGCAACCCGCGCCGAATGTAGTCCCATGTTCTGTTATCTACAGAGAGAGCAGCTCCATCTCAACACAAGCAAACTGACAGATGACACGGCTCACACAGCTACAGGGGACAGCTAGCCCCGATGACGCTATTTCCGGCGCCAGGTCGCCGAAACTGGCTGACCCACCTGCGGGGACCCGTTGTTCCCACACAGTATACCAGGGGCTCAACACAGGGTCCTCTGGGCTCCAACAAAGCGTAATCAGCAATATACATATTTACAGAATCACAGGCATCTCGTAATCCCAGCAGACACAGAGCGTCTGAGAACAGGGCAAAGAGGAGACTGACGATCAGCCTCACAATTTTTACTCTTCATACAATATTGTTAGAGTGAGGAGGAGATAGGTTCGACGTCTAGCTACTAAGCGATGAATAAAGAGTGCACACACAATTTTAGTCGGGAAATGTGACGGGATGAGTTAATTTTGAATAAGCAGACGAAAATATGAGGATAATATTAAAAATGACTCTGAAGGATGTGCGATATGAACTAGATTGTACTGGCTTAGGATTGAGTCAGTTGGTGGGCTTTTTGTGGAACGATAATGAAATTTCCGGTTTCATAAGAACAGTACATTTTGAATGAGGTAAGGACCGCTGATGACAATTTAATTATTATGCTTTGGCTTAAGGTCTACAGTTTTTATTTCAGATTTTTTATTTGCAATTATCTGAGGAAATGAAAAAATCTTTCATTTATAGTATTTTTCTTTCGGTTTACGACGAAAATTGTGAATTCACTTCTCATCTCTCGCAGGCGGTACATGCCCAGCCAATCTCACAATTGTTTCGACGGCTTAAACGATACTCGTGTAGAGTCCGGGTCATGAATTTCATCTATGAAATTTTCTCAATCTCCCTTCTCCCCGTTTTCTCGGGTCCAAATGTTCTTCTAGGAAATTGGGTCGAAACTTTGTGGCCCGCCCCCACCATGCAGTTTTGGTGTGGGCAGAAACAATGCAGCCCTATTTAGCCCTGCACAGTGGCAGTTGCATGTAAAAGGTAAAATAAAAGCGTTTGTGCTTAATTAAGCAACATCCCATTCAGATATATGGGAAAGTGGAGGTAATTATCTGTTTATGGCTCTACAGCCCTTTGTTGCACCGTGGCCGCTTTTTCAGTTCCTTGATCTTTTACACAGTCGGTAGGACTCCTTGGACGAGGGATCAGCCCATCGCAAGGCCGCTACCTTGGATTTCGGTCCCTCGGTTGAGACACCGTGATCGGCGAAGTGGAGGATTAGCTCAAATAAATCTTAATGACGGCACTAGATGGAGACGAGTGAACAGAGTCAAGTTCCGGTAGTATTACCCCACAAAATGAACTTCAGTATCCATTCAATAGGTGGCTGCATAAGACCTACAGTCCGTCTGGGCACCATCGGGAATCGAATCCAGATTTTCCTATCTTCCAGCCAGCAGCCGAATTTTAACGCGTAGAAAACTGGTCTTTTCAAACACAGTTTATTTCTGTTTCATATGATTCTCATAATAAACAGCAATTATTTCTCTAAACAGAATTAGCCGGCTGCTCTGTGTAATGTGTTTCCTGTGAGGTAGGAACTGAAGCGGTATACACTATTGAGATGTGTTCCAGGCTTCAAACGCATATCTTGACTGCCAAAAGCCAGCGGACAGTAGCAAATGGTCTGCAGACAGTTTCCGCTGTTTCTTTCCTTCCTTCAGTCTTCACAAGG